GCTCATGCATCGTTATCCCCCTTTTACAGTTTAGGGAAACTTCTCTTAAGTTCAGGTTGAGACCACTCTATATCAAAACTTTTCATGGAATTGCCCAAGATGAGTTGGTTTCAAGTTCTAACCTCAGCCATGTCCTAGCTTCACAGAAATGGGTGGGGAGAAAGCGAGGGGGAGAAGATGGCCACGGGATCCAAGATCCGTTCGAAGGATTAAACCTCACCATGGAAGTGGAACCTCTTTGCAAGCTGTTCCTTCCTTACCAAGTGCTAAACAAAACTAGCTACCAAGCTACAGGAGTTGATTAAAACGTGGAGATCACCAACAACTTAGATAAGTTGCACGTGGTAATACCAGGACCTCTGATTTGGGAGACTACCGCCCCAAGAAAGCCTTTTCTCAAACCAGGCCGGGGTTCGGGGCCTCATTTCCCGCAGCCCCCAAGCGCCAAAGGCTCCATCTGTAAGTCCCTGGCACGTGTAACTCGCGGCGGGCGCAGACCCACGGAGACCTAGATCTCCCCATCCTGAACATCACAAATGGGAAATGGTGTAGAGCAGACTGATTCGAATCCTGGGTTCCACACCATCCTTAGCGATTCCCCCCTCCCCCCGCCAAAAAGGAGCCAAGTTTTCTCACCCCACTTCCTACTCTCCCCCACGTGGGTTGGTATCTCTCCCACGTTGGGCCAGGACTCCTCCATTCCCCCGACGCTTTCGGCCACGCGCACAGGGTGTTGTCAAGTACCCCCGACCTCAGCAGTTGGGACCGTGAGGCTTCCCGAGTTCCAACCTCGAGCGGGGGGCTGTTGGGGACCCCGCGACTGCCGAGTTCTAACTCGGGGCCGGGAGGCTGGGACTCCGCGGTCGTCGGAGGTCTAACCCCGGACCGGACTGTCTAGCCAACGTAAGTTCTAAGCCCTCGCAGTCCAGTGGGTGACCCGAACCCAGAGTCTCCCGCTTCCCAGCCCCGGCGCCAGGAGCACGCACTCACCATAGCTGCGATTCCGCGGTCCCGCCACCCCTTGGAGCGCCGGCGACGTCAGAGCGGGAGCGCGCGCGCCACTGCCGGAAAGTTGCGCCTGAGGGTGGAAATGGCCGCGAGCGGCAGGAAGCGGAAGTGACGCCACTAAAGCGGGCGGATCTCGTCCTCTAAGGTCGCCCTATTACCGCGTAGGTTCTGGGAGAGGGGCTGTAATTTGCTATCTTTGTTTTCGTTATACTATAAATCTTTGGCAGGAACAATGAATTAAACTTGCGTACACACAGCACACACACCAACGGGTTTCAATGGTGTCATCGTTCCATTGCCTGTTTATCTTTGAGGACATTCTTGTGCTTTTAAAATCCTCTTTTTGACCCTACACTGGTGAGGGAACGGTATGGAGATAAGATGGGTAATCCTAAATGTTTTCCTGCATATGTAGATATCCTTTTTCTCTTTTTAAAGATTTTATTTATTTGAGAGAGAGATAGATAGCAAGAGAGCATAAGCAACAGGGAGAGGGAGAACCAGGCACCTTGCTCCTGAAGTGGGGCTGGATCCCGGCTGGATCCAGGACCCCGGATCATGGCCTGAGCGCAAAGAAGATGCTTAACCAACTAAGCCACCCAGGCGCCCCCATATTTAGATATCCTTGTTAAAACACTGGTGAGAAATGTGAAGTCCACCAGAAATGGAATCCATTGAGTAGGGAATTCAGGAAGAAGAGCAGGTTGTGGGGTGAGGGTTGAGTTTCCGTCAGGTTGAGCTTGGAGATTTCATAGGACACCCACTTTCTTCTGCCCAGCATACTGCTCTTTTCTCTATGCTGCTCCAAATCTCCATTATTTAAAGCTAGACTCATGCCTCGCCACCTCCAAGAAGTCCTTAGGGCCCTTACTCATTTCTCTCCTACATGATGCCAAACACATCTTGGGACTATTTGGATCTAGCCCAAACTAGACCATTATAGGCTAGTTCCAGTTAATCATTTTGGAAACCTAGAGTTAGAGCCCTAGCAGGATCCTTTAGGAATCATGCAGCAATCTCTTCATTTTACAGCTACCAAGGCCCTGAGAAGGGAAGCTACTTGCCCACAGTCACAGAGTGAGGCAGTGGCTGAATCAGAACTGGGCCTTGGGATTTTGGCTGTTGTCCCGGATTACTTCCACCACATCTGGCTGCTTTGCCTGAGACAAGTTGTGGTATGGGGCAACAGAATGGGTTTGAACTGCCTCCAGGACGGAACATGAATTACATAAAAAATGGCTCCATTGAACTTCACTTCATGCAAATCCTAGAAAAATTGTCAAAGAACAAAATTTGTCCCCAAATTAAGAAATGCCCACAGATGATTCCTGTGTAAGAGCAGAACCTGTGGTTTGGATTGTGCTGCTCACTTTTCAGATCCTGTTTATGTTTCCATATTAATGGAACCTACCAACCACCATTATTGGGGAATTAAACATTATTCCAATTTATAGTCATAGATGTGTCCTTATCACTTGATTTTTAGATATACTTTATAAACAATTTCCAGTTGTTACTTGGCTTACCTGGCATCTAGAACCATCATATCTCAGGTCTCCTCAGTAAAGACTAATGGGGACGTGAAGTTTTGAGTACTATGAGTAAGAGACAGCACATCTCACCTAATTAATTGTTTCCCAACTATATAATGACTCAGTTTCCAAATTCTCTTAAAGCTAGGTCACACTTTTGATTTTGTTTTTTCTCTTGCTAGTAAGTTCATAAATGTTGACATATGCTCAATATCAATCTGTCTTATAAATTTGTCCTTTACCACACTTCTGTGCTTAAAAACCCAAGTCCTTTTCATGGCTTACTAGGCTCCTCTCCACCAGTCCCCACCTGCATCCCAATGATAACAGATGTACCCACCTTTTTTCTACCCCGGGAACACCCCAATTTCTCTAACCCCAACCTTTGTTGAGAGGAATGTGCTCCACTGTTTTGCTAAGCTAACTTCAATTCATCACCTCTTCAGTGAAGCCTCCCTGATCACCCAGATCAGGTAACTGCCCCTGCCGGGTGGACCCACAGTCCTGTGTCCTTGCCTGTTACAGCACCTGTCAACATCGCCTTTATTCAGTGCCCACTTTTCCAACCACACCAAGAGCTCCATGAGAGCAGGTCTTGTAGATGCCTTGGGTACTTTGAATACCTATCTGCTGGCACTATGCCTGGCCCAGAGGTAGTGCCTGTTTCACTTAGGGATTTTTGCTGGCAAGCAATCAAAAAGGAGTTTGAGAAAAACTCTGTTGTGGAGCCCACAGATTCCACAGGAGTTGGTTGTGAGAGCAGAAGCAGCCCTACAGTCTCACTCCACTGTCAGTGCCTTCCAGCCAAGGACTAGCAGGAACACACCTTATAATGTTATTACTTATTGCATCAAGGGAGAATGCACATTGTGGGCAATGATAGGCCTTCTCAATAAGAGGGTCTTAGGAAGGATTTACTGTAGGATTTGTGTTGTAATAGGTGATTTTAGGGAAGGTTCAAGAAATTGAGGGGTTTACTCTGGGTTAGATGACTTCAGGCAGTGTGAATAATTCTGTGATTGGACATCTTTTTTTTTAAGATAGGTAGATTATTTATTTTAGAGAAAGAGTGCATGAGCAGGGGGAGGGGCAGAGAGAGAGGAAGAGAATTTCAAGCAGACTCTGCTGAATGTGGAGTCCAATGCAATGCTCAATCTCACGACCCCAAGATTATGACCAGAGCCAAAATCAAGAGTTGGCCACTTAACCAACTCAGCCACCCAGGTACCCCTATAATTGGGTATCGTAATAATCTTATCTACAAGGCAGAAGGAATAAAGTGGGGCTAAAGCTGTAATTGGTAAAGAAATAGCAGTCACTCATATTAGCCAGAAGAAGAGGAATTTGGTGATTTTTGTGGTTTCAATAATGTTCATGTTTTTGTCTTTGTTCAGATGGGATTAAAGAGTGGTCTTGTTTTTGTCTTGATTATCACAGAGTGGTTTTGTCTGATGTTGATAATCTATGAAATTGTTTATACTGAGCAGGAGAATACCAGGACCCAGCTGTGAGTGTCAAGGCATCTCCTAGCAATACCAAGTCTTAACTGGTAGAAACAGGCCAGTTCCTAGCTGTCATGGGCTGCTTTTCTTTCTCTTTTTCTCACCAACTTCCTCTACCCACCTTGAATCTCTGATCTTGATATTTAGAGCCCTGGCAGAGAAAGCCTCATTGGCCAAGCTTAGGTCACACCTCCATTCCTTGACTGTCCTGGATCTATGAGAGAGTATCATATATAAGCTGGGGTAACATTCAGCCAGAATACACCATGTGGGATACTGGGTTCTTAAAATAGAGAAATACATCCCAACTGGTTGGCAAGTAGGTGATGCCCCTTTCCTGGGATGCTCAGGAACACTTATAATGCAGCTATTAAAGGGCTAAGGCCTGGCCCATCCAATTGACTGATGCCCTTTCCTACTCCACTATTCAATATTTTGAATATAACCTTTGGGTGAAAGACAGTGTTCAGGGTAGCATTTATTCCTTCCTCTACCAATCCTGACATGGGAAAAGTAACCCCCAACAGAAAACCAGAATACTGTGAACAAAGAGGAAAGAATGCTGGGTGTTCAAACAAGAATACACATGTTCAATACAGTGTTCATTACTTAATGTTTGGTAGTGGATAGACAGATGGACACATGGATGAAAGTATCTGATGGGAAGAAAGAGTCATATAAACTGCAAGTTACATTACCCCATCACATAGGGAGAAATGTAATCTCTTCCCTCCAGAGGATGGGATATATGAAACAAATTCTTCCTTTTAATTCCCTTCTGGGCAGTCTCCCAACGCTGTCCTTACCTGCACTAAGGGCATGTTAGCCAGCTCTGGTGCCAGGTTCAGGGGCTGGAACGGAGGCTGAGGCTCCTTTGTGAGGTAGCCTCAGTGACAGGAGTGCTGTGAGGCAGGGGTTGCCTCACCCCAAACTGGCTGAGTCAGCCACACCGGTCCTGCCCTCCAACTCCCTAACACCACCTGCTCACCTAGGCTTTGTCATGTTGCTGCCACTGCTGGGAGCCTGTGCTGTGGTGGGGCCATTCCAGGGCCCTGAGTGGGAACCAGTGCGGGGCCTGCTCTCTGAAGATCGCAGCTGCAGGGACCCTCGGTGCTGTGGCAACCTGCTTGTGCTCTGCCTCTTTCTGATCTGGCAGGTCCAGCACTACTGGCACCAGGTCACAAGGACCCACACCAGCACGCGGAAGGTCATCAAGGTGAGGGGACCCCACACACTTCCTTCCCTCGGCACCAAGATTGTCTCATTCACTTGTTATGAGGACCCTGTTCTATGCCCTATACCAGAGATAAATCACAAGGGAGCTTAAGACTGGTCAGGGAGAGCATCACCAGACCCCAAAACCCACCAGTCACCCTGATCCCTCTCCCTCATTCCACACATTCAGTCCATCTACAAGTCGTATGGGCTCTACTTGCAAACCACATCTCAAATCTGATCACTTCTAGAAAACTCACTGCTGCCCCCTGGGCAAACCCTCCCTCATATCTCCCCTACACTGTATGTAGCACTGTCTTCTCCGGTTCCTGTGGCCTCTCTCATCCAAGCACAGACGATGTTCCACTCAGCCAACAGGATTATCTTCTTTCTTTCTTTTCTTTTCGTTCTCTTCTCTTCTCTTTCTTTCTTTTTCTTTCTCTTTCTCCCTTAAAATTTTAATTCAGGGATAATACATGTACATAGACCGCATGTGTATGGATCAATGAATTTTCACAAACTGGATACATCCACGTGCAGCACCCAGCCCAGAAGCTTGCAGTCACAACTATGCTGATTCCTAATCACATGGACTAGTTTTGCCTGTATGATGATGCCATGTGGTAGGTATTCCTTTGCACCTGAGTTAAAATCATGCTTATGAGCAAGAACCGACTTTTCAAAATAAATCATACCACTTTGCCCCTCAAAACCCTTCAACGGCTCCTACAGGTACACTCCCTGTCAACTCAGAAAAAATTCAAACTCCTAACCTTAAGTCCAAGGCCCAACATGATCTGTCCTACATTTCTCTCTGACCCCATCTCCCAGCACACTTTTCATTACCTGTTCCATTCTGGGCATAGGGTCCCTTGATGTTCTTATACACATGACTTTGTTCTGATCTCAGGACCTTTGCACTAACATCTTGCCTATCATTTCATTCAGGTTTCCAGTCAAATGTCACCTCCTCTGAGAGGCCTTCTATGACCAGTCTGTCTAAGGGAGCTAGTCCCTTACCCAGTCTACTTTTATTTCCACCAGAACACTTTTCAATACCTAACATGTTGTATACTTGGTTATTGTGTCTTTCATGTCTGGAAGATAGCTCCCAACAAGGACTTTAGTCTTGTTCATGGTGGTAACCCCAGCATCTAGAATAGTGCCTGGTCTGGAGTAAACTCTTTGTCTTTCTTAAATGAATGCCCTAAGGGAAGTGATTCCCTCTTTTCTGAGCCCAGTATCCTCATCTGGATAATGGACATTGTAATTCTGATCTGTGAGTATTAGATGAGACAATGTGTGAGCAAAGATTTAGCTTCTTCATTCTAAACCACAGGTGACACAGCAGAAGTGGACAGTGCCCTCCGTGAGACATGACACTTGCTTCAGGATGACCCCTGAATTCTTCTTCAGTCCTGATAATTTCAACGACCTGGATGCTCATGTCCAACAATGGGTACAAAAGAAGAGACAGGAATACCGAAGGGGCCTCCAGGAATCATGGACCCAACACCTGCTCTCTTGGCAACACCCATTTCAGGGCCCACCTTGGGATTTCCAAACACCTATTGAGCCCTTCTTTTGCACCACCTCCCTTTCAAGCACCTGTATGCTCCCCCAGGACAGTTCTCGGGAAGCATGGCTGGTACCCTGGTGTCTCAGTGATGAGCAGACTCACCTGATTTGCAAGTCACTATCCCCTGCCCTGGACTGGTACCAAAGGATGGAGCAGCTGCTGGTCCACTCCCAGGAAGAGTTGGTGCCACTGGAGCCTGTTGTCAGCCTGACATCTCATCTCACATCCAGGATTTTAGCTACCTCTCTCTCAAATCTCCCTTCATCTCAGAGGCTACAGTTCTGCTCCAGAGACTTCTTGCCTGATCCTTCCATCCAACAAGTGAGAATGTCCACCTGGAAGTCCTGGGGATGCCCACAAGAGGCCTGGGTACCAGGGAGGGAAAACCAGATGCTAGGCAGGGAGGCTCTAGGGTGGGTGAACCAGACAGAGAGCAGTGGGGAGGATGCTTGGGAGATTCAGGCAACTGGAAGGCAACTCCCAGTGAATTTTGAGATGGAGGATGGTGCAGAGACTAAGGCCCTGGCATGGAGAAGTCAAAAACTAGTAATAAGTAAAACCGATGGAGATATCCTGACATCAGGGTCAAAGAACCAGGATGAGATGGGAATTGAGAATAGAGCCGAAATTCAGGAACTAGGGAATAGAAACGAGAGGGAGGCTGAAGGTGAGAATCCTCCTGGAATCCAGGCACATATAGCAGAGCACCAGGAACAGTTAAGATGTAAAACTGATGCAGAGACCCAGACACCAGAATGGGGGAACCAAGAGAAGAGTAGAGATGAGGATGCTATAGTCACCCAGGCACTTGAGAAGAACAAGAAAGAGGCCAGAGGAGAGGATGAAGGAGAGACCAAGGCCCAAGAATCGGAGAAGCAGGACCAGAGTAGAAGTGAGGATGGTGAGGAAAGCCAGGTGTCAGGATGGGGAAAACAAGACGAGATTCAAGATGATACTGGCATAGAAATTCAGGCACAGGAGAGGAGAGACAAGGCCCAGGTTGGAGGTGAGAATGATGTGCAAACCCAGGTACTGGGGAGGGAGAACCTGGGAGAAGTAACACAAGAGAAAGGTGTGGAGACCCAGGCCCTGGGGTGGGAAAAACAGGAATGCGCTAGACGTGAGAATGTTATAGGGACTCAGACCCCAGGGTGGGGAAAGCAGGATCAGGGTGGAAGTGAGAAATCTGAGAAGATCCAAGCATCTAAGGAAGAGATCTGGAAACAACTAAGACACGAACTTCTAGTGGGGTGGAGAAACCAAGGCCTGAGAAAGGGGGAGGATGCTGGAGAGACCCAGATCTCTAGAAGGAAGAACTTCAGGGAGATAAGAGAGGAGGACTGGGTGGTGATCCGGGCGCCCTGGTGGGGAAACAAGAGACTAGTAGCAAGTAAAATTGACAAAGACTTTGAGATACCATGTTGGGGGCATCTGGACCAGAGTGGAAGTGAAATAGACAGAAAATGCAAGATACCATGTTGGGGGAATCAGATTGGAGGTGAACTTAGGGCAGAAACTCAGGCAACAGAGAAGAGAGATCAGAGAAAAGATGGAGAAGAAGATGGTACAAATGCCTTGGCTCCTGAGGCAGAGAACCAGGGACAATTAAGACATGAAACTCTTGTAGACACCCCTCCACCAGAGAGGAGGAATGAGAAGCAGTTTGGAGATGATAATAGAATAGACATTCAGGCACTAGGGAAGAGAAATCTGAGAGGGGTTAACGGTGAAGTTGGTAAAGAGACCCAGGAACTTGGGGAAGAAACCCAGGGTCAGTCAAGCAGTAAAATTAATGGCAAGATTCATATATCTGAGTTTAAGAATCAGGAATACATTAGAGGCAAAGATGGTGCAAACAACCAGGCATCTGAACCTGAAAAGAGGAGAGAATTAACAAGTAAAGTTGATGGAGAAACTCATTCAACAGAATGGAAGAAAGAGGAGCAGGTTGGGGGTGAGATAGGTGGAAACACCCAGGCATCTGAGACTGAAAAGAGAGGAGAATTAACAAATCACATTGATGGAGAAGCTCATTCAGCAGAATGGAAGAAAGAGGAGCACGTTGGAGATGAGAATGGTACAGGAATTCAAGCTCCAATAAAGACAAGCCAGAGAGAAGCTGTAGTTGAAGATGATACAGAGACCTGGGAACATGGAGAAGAAGACCAGAGCCAGGTAAAAGGTGTTATTGATAGAAATATCCATTTATCAGAGTGGAAGAACCAGGAGCAGACAGGAGGTGAGAATGGAACAAAAATTCAGGCTGGAAGTGAGGATGCTGTAGAGACCCAGAGGCCTGAGAGAGAGAACCAGCAACAGTTAGATGGTGGAACTGGGGAGAGTCACTCACGAGGGAGGAGCAATTGGGAGCAGAGGGGAAAGGAGGAGGAAAATCAGACATTGGAGAAGAGACGTCAGAGAGAAGCTAGGAGTGAGGGTAGTGGAAAGACCCAAGGACTTAGCGGAGGTTCCCGGAGATTGATAGAAAGCAAAGCTGATGAAAAGAGCTGTTTATCAGAGTGGACGAACCAGGAGCAGACAGGAGGTGAGAATGGTGCAGACACTGAAATACAAGGGAAGAGAAACCTGAGAGAGACCACAGGTGATGATGGTACAGAGGCCCAGGCTCCAGGGGGAGATTACCAGGGACAGGTAAAAAGTGAAGTCGATGGAGAGATCCAGATACAAGAGCTGGGGAACCAGGACAAGGATGGAGATGAAGACGCTGCAGAAATCCAAGAAGCTGGGAACCAGAGAGAGTGCAGAGCTGAGGAGGCTGGAGGACCTCACATTCCAAAAGGAGGAAACGAGAAGCAGGTCAGAGGAAAAGATGTTGCTAAAGACAATCTCCCAGTTGACTCTTCTGGGGGCGAGGGGCCTGGATATGAGGCCATGGAACAGCAACAGGCAGTGGCCTCTGCTCCCTGTCCTGAGCTGAAGCCTCTCTCCAGCTGCAGTCAACTGTCCCTGCATGTCAGTGAGGAGGGAGAGCATATGGTCAGCCAGAGCATGGCCTCTGCCAAGAAGCACAGAGTGAGGGTCAGGCTAGCCTCCCAGCAGGCCCCACCTGAAGCCCTGACAAGCCGACAAAAGGATAAAAGGGTGGATGCAGGGAGGACTTCTGGCTGGATGCGGCAGCTCCAGAACGTACATTCTGGAGAACTTCTGGCTGCTCCCCTGGGCCTGCCCGCTGCCCGCCCCTCTGTCTCATGTCGCCAAGCCTCCCAAGCTGCTGCAGCTCTGGTGGGTGCTCCCACTGCCCTCACTGTCCTGCCCAAGTGGCCAGTCCTCAAAAAGAGCCAACAGCTCCTCTTGGAGTCCCTCATGCGACGGAAGATTGCACACCTGAAGTGGGGCCTCCCCAAGCGGATCCTGGAGTCCCATTTGCTCTTTAACAAGTTGGGACCATGCCCGCTACCCCGTGCTGGGATGAGGCTCCCTGGATTGTACACAGCCCGTGAGCTCCAACGACAGCAGGGAACGCACTGTGAGGCCCAGGGCTGCAGGCCAGTCCTCAAGTCAACTGGGAGATCCCAGAGAGTTCAGCCCCCAGAAAGAAAAAGCTCAAAACTTCCTACTCGGGCCAGGGCTCTAGAGAAATGTGGGTCACATGGGTGCGAGTCCATGGGCATTTCCATCCATTCTGAGAAGCCTGGGAGAGTCCGGCCACCAGGAGGCACTAGAGAACCACGGGACATCCCGGAAAAGGCTCCTAGAGCCAAGGCTGCTGCCACTTACAGGAACTCCAGGCCCGCAGCACAGTCCAGGAGCTGGTGTGGCCAAGAGCCTTCCAGTGAGAACAGCAGGGACAGGAAAGTGGTCAGGCCAGGAGTCTCCCAGACGGCAGAGATGGCTCCTTGCAAAGTAAGGACCTCATATTCCAGGGCAAGCCATGACGCCTGCAGGAAGGAGCACATACCCCAGGAGGCCCCTAAGCCCCCCAGACTTAAATGTCAGCAGCCCACACATGGGAGAAGAGAAAGCCTGGAGGCTGCAGAGGGCAGCGGGGCTGGGCAGCAGCCTTCCTTCCGTTTCACAAATACCTCCAGCTTCAAACGTAATTTCCACTCTGCTGCAGCAAGGTTGAGCGTGACCCTTTTAAACAAGATATCCTGGTCCCCACACTGGGCCAAGCCTCAGCACTCAGCCCCCAACCTGAGCCTGCGGGATCCTGATCCTACCCTGCTTTCCAAAGTGAGTGACCAACATACAAGGGAGGACAGCCCTGGAGTCTATATTTCTCTGAAGACAGACTTTCAGCCGCCAAGTCATTCCTGTGCCGAGGCAGTTCTTCCCAAGATAAAGTGCTTTCAGGGTCAGGGGGAACCTGAGAACCTACATGGATCCCTGAAGAATCTATCAGCCCCCCAGAAGTTTGGTTTAATGAAGCATTTGAGATGTTTTCTGCTCCAGCTTGGCTTTAGAAAGTAGGCTGCAGGCCCAGGGTCCTCAGAACACATAAGAGAAGGCATGAGTTGTCTGCTCACCCTCAAAGCTTCTAATAAAATTGGTTATTTGGGCCCTGTGGGGTTCTGCTATTTCTGGCACATGTTTTCTGAGTATCCCCTTTTGGAGGCTGGGATACTTTGTAGGTGGGGTAGAAGCCAGTGTACTCTGTGGTATTGAAGGTTTTGGGAATGTGGGTCAACCCAATGTCGTCATCTCCTAAACACATTTCCTTTCCCTAGCTCCTCACAGTAGGGTATACTGAGGTTTCTATCATGGCTCTGTCCTGTCCTGGTCCAGGCTAATTCTGATTGAGGTGGGGTGCTCACACTGTTTGGGGAGGGGGGTTGCTCTGCACGTGACACTGATATGCAAGTCTTTTGGTCACAAGGAAGGAAACTGATTATGGCGCATTCCCCCAGCTGGAACTCTGCTGTCCATGAACATACTTCATGGAAAAGCCATTCCCCCCTCCACTTCTCAAGCACTGTCAACCATAATTACTTGTTGCCTTACTTGTCTCACCAATGGGACATCCTGGTGATTATTTGTTTTAATCAAGCCTGAAGCTTCTGAGCCAAAAGACATGTCTTATGATACTTCTATAGACAGCTTCAACATGTGGAAGTGCATCCTATATCCTATATCCATGAAAGCTGGAGTTGAGAATTTAATCCAGGTTTTCTCCTTCCCTCTCCTTTATCCTCCCTCCCTTCTTTTTTTTTCCTCCCTTCTTTTCTTACCTTTCATTTAGTTTTCCTATTCATTGTAAAACCCATACATGCTCATTGATGGAAGTTTAAAAAATTCAGAAAAGGAAAAATAATCCATAATCTTATTACCCAGTTACTGTGTTGATAGTTTTCTTGCTACACATTGCTACCTGTATGGTGTTTCTTTTTTTTTTTTTTTAAGATTTTATTTATTTATTTGACAGACAGAGATCGCAAGTAGGCAGAGAGGCAGGCAGAGGGAGAGGAGGAAGCAGGCTCCCTGCTGAGCAGAGAGCCCGATGCGGGACTCGATCCCAGGACCCTGGGATCATGACCTGAGCCGACGGCAGAGGCTTTAACCCACTGAGCCACCCAGGTGCCCCCGGTATGGTGTTTCTTATAGCAATTCATGCCTACCTCTACTACAGCACTTACATTGTGATAGGCAGGCTTTCTAAGAAGGTTCCCAATGCTCCCTACCTCCCAGTATCCTTGCCCTTGTATATTCTCTCTTTGAGTGTGGATTGGATCTAGTGGGTCGCTTCTGACAGCTAGGATACAGCAGACATGATGGAATGTCACTTCGGAGAAAAGGTTATAAAGTCTGTAGCTCCATCTTGGGCATTTCTCTTGTTCCCTTGCTTGCTCCCTGAGGGAACTCACCCTCCATGTTGTGAACTGCCCTATGGAAAGGCACATATGGCAAAGCACCGAGAAGAACACTGGAAAACAGTTGTCAAGAAAGGGAGGTCCTCACTTAGCCTTCGAGGAGCTGAATCCTGCCACCAAGCATGCGAGCGAGCTTAGAAGCAGATCCTTCAGCCTTAGAGATGACTACAACCTTGTGAGATGACTACAACCTTGTGAGAGACTTTGAACCAGGGTCACTTAGTTAAGCTGTTCCTGGATTGCTGGTGCACATAAACAATGAGATCATCCAGGTTTCTTATTTTAAGCTGCTAAGTTTTGGGGGCTTATTACTTATTAAGTTTTGGGGGCTTATTATTGTAATGAGTTACCACAAACCTGATGGCCTAAAACAACTTCTGGGGGCCAGAAGTTTGAAATCAAGATGTCAGAAGGCCCTCCGTAGGCCTTGAGGGCAATCAGTTCTTGTTCTTTCCAGCTTCTGGTGGTTGCAGAAGCTGGAAAGAAGCTGCCTCTTCCTTTTACTTTGTGGGTCTCTTCTCAAGACACTTGTCATTGGATTTAGGGCCCACTCTATACTCCAGGATGATCTCTCAAGATCCTTAACTTAATCACAACTGTGAAGATACTTTTCCAAACAAGGTAACATTTACAAATTCTGAGGATTAGGGTGTTTCATAAATCTGCTCTAGCTGCTGTAACAAAATACTAGAGACTGGGTGGTTTAAACAACAGAAATGTATTTTCTCACAACTCTGGAGGCTAGAAGTCCAAGATCAAGGTTCTGGTTGATTCGGTTTCTGGTAAGAATTTTCTTCCTGGTTTGCAGATGGTTGCTTTCTCACTGCGTCTTCACATGGCCTTTCCTTGGCACATGTAAACTGAAAGAGGTGAGAGATCTTTCTCTCTCTTTTATTTTTTTTTTTAAGATTATTTTTATTTATTTGACAGACAGAAATCACAAGTAGGCAGAGGCAGGCAGAGAGAGGGGGGAAGCAGGCTCCTCGCTGAGCAGAGAGCCCGATGTGGGACTCGATTTCAGGACCCTGAGATCATGACCTGAGCCGAAGGCAGAGGCATTAACCCACTGAGCCACCCAGGCGCCCCTTTCTCTCTCTTTTAAAAGAAAAATTTTATTTTTAAGTAATCTTTACACCCAATGTGGTACTCGAACTCACAGCCCTGAGACCAAAGTTCACATGCTCTAATGACTGAGACAGCCAGGTGCCCCTCTCCCTCTTCTTATAAGGTCACCAATCCCGTGGGACCAGAGTCCCACCCTTACAATGTCTTTTAACTTTAAATACCTCTTAAAGGTTCTCTTTCCAAATACAGTCACATCAGGGGTTAGGGTTTCAACATCTGAATTTGGAGGACACAACTCAGTCCAGAGCAGATACGGAGATATATTTTTGAAGGTCACCATTCAACCCATCACATGGGGTCATCTGTTACACAGCAATAGATAACTAACACTGTATTGCAATAATTGATCATCTGCTTCCTTGACTAAACTTGAGGACGAGAATTGTCTTGTTCACTTTAGAATCCTCCAGCTCCTAGCCCAGTTTCTAGCTCAAAACTCTGTCAAAAAGAATACATAGTTTGTTGACATTTTAAAAATATACAGGATAATATTTAATGATATGGAAGACATATATGATATCTTTTAATCTGGAGGAAGCAGTTCACAAACTTTGTATGTTACTGTTGTAAAAATGTGTAGACTTGGGGCTCCTGAGTGGCTCAGTGGGTTAAGGCCTCTGCCTTTGGCTCAGGTCACGATCTCAGGGTCCTGGGATTGAGCCCCGCATCGCATCAGGCTCTCTGCTCCACAGGGAACCTGCTTGCCCCTCTTTCTCTGCCTACCTCTTTGCCTACTCGTGATCTCTCTCTGTGTTAAATAAATAAATAAAATCTCTTTAAAAATACATTTAAAAATGTGTAGACTAAAAGAAAATATACCAAAATATTATTTTTCTTTCATTGTCTTCACTGAATATGTACTATTGCTATAATGTATTTAAAATATGATGAATAAATGTTGTTTACTTATTTTAATACTTTATATATAATTCTGCATCTTTTGTGTGCAGAATTTTAATGAGAACTAGTCCATGTTAATACCTACTTTTCTCAAACATTATTTCATAACGCTACATTGGACAATAAATCCTTATTTTCTGAACTATTTCGCTATGGAATAATTTTTTTTGCACGCAGTGACACTGCTTCTGAATGTAGAAAACACCTTGTGAGCTTACCTCCTTCACCATTAGCCAGTTGCTGGACACTCAGGTGCTAAATAAATCCTTGTAGATGGATAGACTGTTACTGCTCATACATGCAACGATGAACGATTTTTCCTTCTGCAGTGTTCCTTGCGCGCTCACAAAGTCTCAAGTGCCGTGCAGCCGTCTGTGAAAGGGCATCTTAAGGGAAACGTCTTAGACTCTTCGAGAAAGGGGTCACGTAGAGTTAAAAAAATAGTAACAGCTTTTAGATCCCTGAGATCGTTTACGTTTTTAATAGTAGAAAGAGATTACTTCCTTTCCTTCCTTTCGCAAGGCTATTGATAGCTTCTTTATAAATATTTTTCAACCCATAGCTAGCGCGGTGAAGGCAAACGCCTACGAACTCAATGAGCAAACTGCTTTGTCCTTTGCGGGACACTCGCGAGTCCTCGCACCTACCACAGGCTCTCAAAGGCCGCTGCTCGCGCGAGATTGCTCGCGTGAAGATTGCGTAGCACTCGAGTTGCGCACGCGCGTTACCCCCCACTCCCCGCCGAAGGGAAAGGGGCTCTTTCAAGTGCGCTTGCGCACACGCTGCGCGGGAAAAGGTGGTGGAGACATGTCTGTGAGGGACGCGGCGGTAGGCCTTCCCGGGCCTGGGAGGGACGAGGACACGACGCTGCTCTTCGAGAGGGCCCATTACAGGCATGACCCGTGCTGGCTGCTGCCCGTGCCCCCACGCCTCTGTCTGGCCTGCATGGTGGAGCTGCTGCCGGAGCCCTGCGTATCGGTAGGAACAGAGGCTCCGGCATTTCCCTCACCAAACAGCCTTACCTCACCAGACCGACTCCCTAGAACCTGACGCACCTTCCCTACACCGGGCCCAGCCGCTTCGTTAACTTGACCCCGTAAGCGGGCCTGCTCCCTTGCTAGGCCGGAGCTGCCTTCTTTTCTGTACTATCCCAGCCTCAGTTTACCCTGCAGGCCGTCCTGCTCGGAGCAGAGGGCCGCTTTTCAGACTAGCCCCGGCGCCTGGCTCTGGATCTCACCCGGGCCTATTCCTGTCCGCTAAGCCCGCCAGCCCTCCAGGACGTGCTGGCTCGCATGCCGGCCTTCCCTTCCCTTCTCTGTAGCTGCCCTGCCCTTAGTTGCGGTCGCCATGTCTCTGGGAGTTAGCCTCGGCTGGGCCCACGGACCAGGCTCCTCGTTCCCTTCGCATGTCTTAGGGTGTAAATGTGGGGGCTGCCTTGGTCTCTGTGATGGCAGGGGTGACAAGGAGAAGTTACAGCCAGGCAGAGTGGGGTGAAGGGGAAGAACTTTCTAATAAGCAGAGCTGGCTGAAAAATGGGCTTTTCCCCTCACTGCCTGCCCACCTCTGTAGTGAGTGTTTTTGGTCCATGGAGGCATCCAAGAAAAGTTTGGGAGATCACTTTTCTCTCAGATTCATGAGAGGGGAATTCGTCCCTTGGAGGGAAGGGGGGTGGGCTAGATCAGTGGTTCTCAAGGTGTTTTCTTATTCTCAGGATACCTTTACACTTTTAAAGTGTGTTGAGGACCCCCAAAGAGCTTTTGTTTATGTGGGTTGTATCCGCTGGTATTTACGGTATTAGAAGTAAACACAATTTTTTTGAAGATTTTATTTATTTATTTGACACAGAGAGAGAAAGATCACAAGTAGGTAGAGAGAGAGGGGGAAGCAGGCTTCCTGCTGAGCAGAGAGCCCGATTTGGGGCTCGATCCCAGGACCCTGTGACCTGAGCCGAAGGTAGAAGCTTAACCCACCGAGCCACCAGGCACCCCAGAGAGCTTTTGTTTATGTGGGTTGTATCCACTGACATTTACTGTATTAGAAGTAAAAACAATTTTAAAATACTAATTTAAAAATACTGCTAAGTCCATTACATATTAGCATAATTGGTTTTATTGCGGCAAAATACACATGATATAAAATCTACTGTTTTAAGTGTACAGTTCTGTAGCATAAGTAATTTAAGTAAAAATAATGATATTTTCCAAAACAAAAACGTAGTGAAAGGAATGGCTCATTTTTGCAAGTGTCTTTAATGTCTGGCTTAATAGAAGATAGCTGGATTCTCATATATTTCTGCACTTAATCTGTTGTGTATTACTTGCCATATAATCTTTGAAAAATTTCACTGTATGCTTGTGAGAGAATAAGAGTGAAAAGAACAAACTGCATCTTAGTATCATATGAAAATAATTTTGATCTTTTGGATACTCTGTAAAGGTTCTGGGCACCCTCTGGGGTTCCCAGGCTACCCTCTGAGAACTGATAGCTCTAGCTGAGAATATTTGAGATTTCATTGAGACCAGGAGTTCTAAGGCTGCCATTCCTTGATAGCGAGTCAGACATAAAGAGATAAATAAGAGGGTTTATAGAGGAGAATATGAGAAGGCTAAAAATTACTAGGATTTTAGTAGCTTGATATATTTATGGTCAAGAGCTGTTGGGATAAAGAGGGAAACTGGAAAAAAGTTTTTTTTGTTTTTGTTTTTGTTTTAAAATATTTTATTTATTTATTTGACAGAGAGAGAGATCACAAGTAGGCAGAGAGGCAGGCAGAGAGAGAGGGGGAAGCAGGCTCCCCGCTGAGCAGAGCCCAATGCGGGGCTCAATTCCAGGACCCTGAGATCAGGACCTGAGCTGAAGGCAGAGGCTTAACCCACTGAAGCACCCAAGCGCCCCAGGAAAAAGGTTTTTTAGAGGAGGAAGCATTTGAATTAGGATGGAGAAGATGAGTGAGATTTGGACCAGAGGCAATGGGGGGAGCTTATCCCAGGAGGCAGGTATTAGCAAGGATGAGTTCGGGGAGGTAATCAGAGTGTTCGAAAGGAAGTTGAGGGAAGTGGGATTGAAAAGCCAGGTTAAGATGAGTTCCTCGAAGCGTTTGAATCCAAGCTAGAGTGTGGACTTAATCCCACAGGTAAAAGAGAGTCCTCAAGATTTTTAGATCACTAGCTTAATGAATTATGTAGGAGGAACTGGTGAAGGAGTACATGAGATTTGCAATAGCACAGGTTAGAGGCACCAAGAAAATGCACTTTACTTATTTTTTTTTTTTAAGATTTTATTTATTTGACAGATCACAAGTAGGCAGAGAGGCAGGCAGAGAGAGAGGAAGGGAAGCAGGCTCCCTGCTGAGCAGAGAGCCCGATTTGGGGCTGAATCCCAGAACCCTGGGATCATGACCTGAGCCGAAGGCAGAGGCTTTAATCCACTGAGCCACCCAGGCAACCCTGCACTTTACTTCTTACTGAATGCACTTTTTTTTTTAGCTTCGGCTCTCACCAATTGAAAGGGGGGGATGCTGTCAGTTGTATCCATGTTCCTGTTCTATCCTCGGGGCATACTCCCTTTTTTTCCCTAACTTTTGCTACTATCTTGAGCACTTTACACAGCTACTATCCAGCTCCCTGTACAGGGAGGTGAATTGAGTGTGAAGATTTATGTCCATGTTGAATGGAAGGATGCGTGTCTCTACTGGCCTCTTTGAGGCTTATGCAGGGTCTCCAGAATCACTCTCCTGGACCTTTGAAGTGGAAAGGGCGCTGACCTTGCATAAGGCCTCCTTGGAGACGTTTGAGTCCTGGGCTTCTGTTTTCCCATCTATAAAACGGTGACAGTAATACCTATTTTTGCTTGCTTCACCAACTGGTTAGGTTTAAATGAGCTAGTAGACAGAAGAGTGATTTGTGAATAGTAAAGTGCTCTGTAAATACAGGGTGGTGGGAACCTTAGCTCATTTTAATCCTCTGTATGAACACATGGATTCCTATGTGTAGTCGATGCCCTTTTTCCTACTCCCTTTAGGAGTACTATTGTTTAGATGAACCCTTTGGTATCATTTTGCAATTATATTTAGAAATTACAGTTGTTTGGGTTCAGAATGGCTGAGGCTTGGTTGTTACTGAATTTTTTTTTTCATCTGTCCCTAGCTGGTGCGCAAGAAGCATGTGCTGTCCTGCTTCCGAGATGCTCTCTTGAGGCATGCCTCGCTGGTCATGCAGCTGGTGGCTCAGGATCAGAGAATCTGTATTCACTTCATAAGCGTGCTTTTCGGTGAGATTAGAAGGGGAACTTGGCATGAATTTTGTATGTATAGCATGCATATTTGTTTTGGGGTTTGGAGAAGTGGTCTTGGAAAGACAATTTAGGTTTTTTGCCATTTATCAGTTTAATGTATTAGTAAATTATTTTGTCATATTATGAAGAAATGATCCCCTTTCTAAGACACATGATGCATTGGTTGGTAACTGGCTTTGCTACAGCCAAGAGGGTTGTAAAAGTGTGAATATGAGTATGGGAAATGTGTGATCTTCAAAAAGTCCACTCTGCCCCTCAATAGGGTCAGAAGGTCCAGGCTAGACTCCATTGACCTGGTGTGACCCTGATTGAATTACTTTCCCTCTTCTGTGCCTGAGATGGATTAAAAGGTCCCTTCTTTTAATGTAATTATAATGTCCTATGGAAAGAGCCCTTTCAGGGAGGAGGGGAGCTAACTCATATTGGGTTCTTTTCTCTGCTAGAGGCTTTTCAGGCTTTTAACTGCCAAGACAGTTTTTTAAGGGAGAGAAGATGGTCCCCAAGGCTAAAGGAAGACATGGTTAACAACAGGCAGAACTGGAATTTTACCGCAGGTCTATTACAGACCCCAGAACACTTAGTTTTTATGCTGTGCCACACTGACTGTTTTTATCCTTTTAAAGCCAGAGTGGGTCACTGAAAGTCTAGGTGTTTGGTGTTGAGGATAGCATTTATCTGGGACATTGCTTAAAGCTGCTATTAGTCTAGAATTTATAGCTTGCCTCTGTGGGTTTGTTTCTCTTTTAACTATTTACCATCCCCATCTCTTCTCTCTCGGCTCCAAGGGCTGTTATGCAATGTGGAAGATGGGAGTGTAACAGAGCGCTGTATTGAAGGTGAGGCGAAACTGTGTACCTAGCTTTTGAAGCTGAGGATATTAACCTCGATTGCAGCTCTGGTTATCTGAGATCTTGATGAAATAACTGCTTCATTTTAGAGACCTATCAGGAAAAGTCAATTGTCAGTCTGTGTCAGAAACCAGGGATACATAGATGGGTAAGACATGGTTCCTGCCCTTTAAGAGTTTACAATCTGGAGGAGAGATTGGATGACAATAATGAGAGCTGAAGAACACTGTTAGAAAGGCATGTACAAATTCTGTTTTCATTCCATCCACATTTGTTGGTTAAAAGTTGCCTGCACATAGGCAACAGTAAGAGTTGTGGAAGTGTAGAAAGGGTGGGAGGAGTGGCGTGCCTGTCTGGCTCAATCAGAAGAGCATATGACTCTTGATCTTGGGGTCTTGAGTTCTAGCTTCATGTTGGGGGTAGAAATACTAAAATAAACTTTAAAGGGCTCGAGGAGAAAGAAGACAAGAGAATTGGGATAGGAGGATTCTTGCAGAAAGAGCAAGAATTGTATCAGTTAGAGGCTAGTCAAGAAACAGAAACCACACGAGTTATTTAAACA